CTGAGAAGCAAGTGTGTGTGTGTGTGTGTGTGTGTGTGTGTGTGTGTGTGTGTGTGTGTGTGTGTGTGTGTGTGTGAAGAGGTGGCTGGAGTGAGCTCCACGGGGAGGTGAGCAAGGAAGCTGGAGGTCAGGGTGTACAAGAAGAATCTGCTCTGTTCAAAGTCTTCTCCAGAGGGCAAACAAAGAAATGGAGAATTTGATCGGTATTTCTGACAGAGTGTGTGTGTGTGTGTGTGTGTGTGTGTGTGCTGGAGAAAGTAAAGAGCGAGCCTGAAAAGAAAGATTATGTGTTTATTTGTTTACACTGCCTCCAAGGTCCTGTGCTGTCTTTGACCATCACTCCTTTCTCACTCTCTCTGCTTAACTCTTACTCCTGCCTTCAACTCGCCCTCCCTCCGTCCAAACTCCTCTAACGGTTCTCTTCCTCCACTCAGCCGCTCCACCCCTTCTTTAAAGTTTGTGTCTATTGATTCCATTGGACTTTAACAACAAGCGCTACGTTAGGTCAAACCCTTCAGCTATTTCTGGATCTTCAACAGACGCCCTGGGCTATTTGCGCACGCTCCTTAAAACCTCGCCTAAACCACTTCACTTCCAGCCCATCGCTCGCTTCACGATGAGTGTTACAAGCGCTGCTAACAAGTAAATGTCGGGCATAGAGACCCTTAAAACTCGACTTTCTTTATAAGACTGCGTGCAGCGAGGTGGCATGCCGCTACTCTCTGTGATGAGCAGGGATATCCATCGTACCTTCAGCAGTTCAAATGGCACTGAATGAGCGAGTGCGTAATGGGATTTCCAGTCAGACAATCAATATCCGAGCTGCCCTGCAATGAGATCAGTGTCTATGAGAACGTCAACACAGGTCAATAATATAGTATGGATTTTACCTCATCAAACTATAATTCTGCTTACTGGAGCCATCTGTCTCTGTGGGCTTGATCTATCACTACTCTTCTTCTCGCTGCTTTTTTTGTTGTGCTATATTTTAAACAGGATTTTAAGGTCAGTACCAATATGCAGCAGACAACGTCTCTACACATTCACAGGTGCAATGAGTTCTTTTTGTTTTTTCCTCTGGTTCCTGGAGTTAAATGACTACATGTACCGGAAAATGATAGGGTTGAACATTAATAATGGATTCCTTGCAGGCGCTGAATTTCCAGGCACTGTTTGGGAAGCCAAACTGCCCCTCAGTTGTAGTAATACAAATCTTCCCACACTGACTATATTCATGCATAAAAAACTAAGTAAATTGGCCCCCAAAGTTATTCTTATTACTTATTGAATGTAATTCATTTAGCTCACAGGGCAGTAAAGCCCTGCGTGGAAAGTTAATAAAACACTTAATCCAAGGCCAGTATCTGTCCAATGTCTTAGCTTAGTTTTCTGTATTGTTCACTTTCTCAAGGTAACTGTGCTCAGCGAGTCTTTGTATCTTTTGCACTCTCCACTGCTCTTGTTATTGATCAAAATGTGTCCTTTCTTTAATCCTCCACCTCCTGTTGTAAAAAAAAATTGTGCCAGTGGTGTCATAGAGGTGCAGTTGTATCTCAGCTGCGCTCTGATAAAGATGCGGCTATGAATAGACCCTCACACTGGGACATTTTGGAGCACGGGGTACAAACAGACAGAGAAGCTACAGCGAACGTTTGCTGTGGAGACGTAAGAATTAAAAATAGATTTTTTTTCTTGCTTCATTCAGTACTTTTAATTCTGTGCGCATTCTGGCGAGTTTTCCAACACATCAGCATGCACCTTGGATCGCTGAACTCTGTTCTTGTTGGGTTGAAGTGTTCACTTTCATCGAGTGTGGAATTTCAGATCATCCGAAGTGGCCTGGGGGGCGTTCAGATCCACGTACCGTTAAAACAGTCGGCGCAGACATTAACTGTGAGAATGCACTGCAGATAAACAGGCTGCTAATGATGCGCACTGATCGACAGACACACCTCGTTCTCTACTTATTGCATTCAGAAGAGTTTCGGAAAACTTCACTGGAATACAAGGTCTAGATTTTCAGCAGATATAATTATGGTTAGGTGTCTGCCCAGCAGGGTGACGACAATACCCCATCACCCTTTTATGGCTGAGAGGTAAGAACAATCAAACTAATCCAAATTTGAAAAGATCGTAATCCGGTCTTTAAGTGATGACGTGATGAATCCTGCTTCCGGGCCCAAACTACTCTGCGTTTAATAAGGATGTTGTGTTTTTAACATGTTTTATTGCTTTGCATCTTGTTCTATTTAATCTACAAGCTCCTAAAAACAGTCAGTGATCACTGTCGGCCTCTCTCAGTTTTTATTACCACTGTTTATTTTAAAGCTCAGTTTTTAAAACTAACCTCGTATTGTGGATGGATTATCTCAGTTGTTCTCCTGACTGAAGTTTGGTCCGTTTACAGCATCCTGCTATGCGATTGCATTTGTCCCTAACCATAGGGAACCTTCACGTTAACTTTTATCGAGTGGAAAAAAGTTAGCGTTCATCCTCCAGCTTCACTGTGTTTATGCTATGCTAACATAGCTGTGTTGCTAGCGATCATGTAGCACATCATTATATACCAGCTAGCCCAACTTCAGTAACCCTACAAACGTCACTGCTGTTTAGCTTTCTGTCTTCATTTATGTTGGAAGTGATAGCAGAGCTGTAAGTCTTAATTTGTTTCAGAAATCTCTCAGTCAGATCATGCTATATTATATTTAGGTGGAAACTAGCGAGCTAACTTCCTGCTAACTTCTAACTCTGTTACATTTAATAAATTGTGTTTTCGTGGATGCCTGGATGTTAAACTTAATTCTTACACCTGGTAATGCAGCAACGCTGATCATTTTGTTACAGATGAAAAAATTTAGACAGTTTTTCAACTCTGTGGCAAAGATTGGGCCCAGACACGGCTAATGACGTCTGACTTAAAGACCAGGTGAAAATTAACAACAGTAAATATTTGAAGTTAAAAGACTGAGACCAACAATAGTCCAGTAAAATCTGTCCATTCCTAAACCTTTCGCTCTCTCTCTCTGATGGGTTTACTTTGGTTTTTGAGCCTAAACATGTTATCCTTCACTTGCATCCAGTGTTGCCAACTTTGTCGCCAAATTTTATCGAATTTTCAGACCCCTTAGCAACTTTTTTTTTTCTAAAAAGCGTCTAGCGACAAATCTGGTGCCTTTTTCTGGTATTATTGGAGACTTATTTATGACGAGTTTTTGACGTGAAAGCGCGTATCGCTCTTACTCTCAACAAGCAGCGGTGCTGCCGTGGGCACCTCGCCCGTGCCAAAGCGCTCACAGGCGGAGGATAGTCCTCCCCCGCTGCTATCAGGGCAGAAGATGTTCACCTATGCGTCCAAACTGCAAATGAATCGCGCATGAGCGAAGCCGCTGCTCCCACACTTTTACTGTTATGTTGTTTTGTGGATCACAAGGTTTAAAACTACTTATAAACACACACACACACACACACACACACACACACACA